GGGAGCAGCTCGGGGCGCGAGTGACCTGGGATCGAGGGGAGGGAAATAAAAAGGTGGAGAGGGTCAAAAATGAATCTGCTGGGTGCTAAAACACACAGGAAGGGTGTGTCATTACAGCTGTTCGCTCTACAAAGTTACAGTGGGCACCCACTGAAAAACATACACGATGCAGCTGACTCACCTGAGAGAGGCACGAGGTATCGTTAAAGTAAAAACACTTAAAGCCAACGAATATATCAGGAAGAAATGACCTGAAATATTTATTCAAATCATAACATTTCTGCAAAAAAACAAGTAAAATAAGAATAAAAAGGCATGAAATTCAGACAATGATGAGAAGCACAATATCAAACTGGATTGTTAACACTAGAATGGATGATTTTTTTTTTTTTTTTTTTTTGAGGGGGGATTCATGCGTTTCAATGTTTTTCTGCAGCTGACAGCCAAAGGAAGAGGCGCGAGCCAATCAAATGCCCTGCCCAATTAACACCGCTGAGGTGTGTGCATTTTTCAGCGTGACGCCGCCGTCATCCCGAGCTGTCAGGACTCACAGATGATGCACTCTTCCACAATCCACGACAAACCCTTCAACACAACCGTACGTCTGAAGGAGGGACTACGAGGATTCACTACGACAACACGGAAAACACTGACAGATGACTGAAAGATCTATATCCATACATTTTATGAAGAGTTAGTTAAATTAAACCTACACATACTCATTATTATCTCCAAGGTGTGTTGCACTGAAAATGCAACCATATTGGGGGATGATTTCGCATAATGTGACAGAAGCACTGATGCAAAGTTGCAGTTGGATGGACAGAGAGGGAGAGAGAGCAAAGGATGGAGCTGGGAGGACAAGAGGGCATTGCTTTCATTCGCTGCGTGGTAGCTTGACAAATGTTAGCATGAGCCTCTAAAGCGCTGTGACAACCGCCTGCTGAGAGCACAGTCTCGCTAATGTGTCCTGGCATGCCAGCCTCGTAATCACACATTTACATATGCAATGACCTACATTTGCATGTCAGATCGCACACTGTCCAGCGTGATTAACAGTGGGCACCTCCCCGTGTGGAGTCGCCCTGGGTGGCAGCAGAGGCCATGCGAGGGCGGAAGAGAGGGCTGGAGGGAGGGCGGCTTTTCTGGCAGCCAAGGGGCCGGGCTGCCAGGCAGGATTATGTCAGCCAGTGGCCCCGACATTAGACACTTCATTAGAGCTAATCTGTTTAGCAGTGGGCAGTGTATGTAAACTTCACAGGCCATTTGCGGCACCTCTTCGCCCCCTGGCCTGGCCTTCAAAGAGCAGCCAGGCCACAGCTGACTGACAGGCCGTCTCATCTGCCGCACATGGGTGTCACACAATCAGGAGCTCCCAGCTGAAAGACAAGGCCACACACACACACACCTACAAAGGAAGTCACAGAGGAACGTCCCCGAGTGACGCAGAGGTCACGGTCTGGCCAAAAACGGGAGAGGAGGATTTTGGACGGATCTAAATCTGACTGTTCATGTGACGGACGAATATCACGACCTCAAACACAAACGTGGTTGTTAATCAGGGCTCGCGTATTTATGCGTTTGAGTGCAACATCTGCTAGAGAATGCCGAGACCGGTCGACTGAGCCGAGCCCCGACCGCGCCTGAGCACCGTCCATTTTTGTTTTTCTAATGCAAATGGTGCAACTGTTACGTTAATATAAGTACCACGTTAAAAAAACCTGCCCCCATTATTCTTTTTACACATATTAATTCACGTTGAAAAAGAAATAATTTTAAAAAGCAATAACGATCAGGTTACGTGTTTATGAAATTTACCTGAAGAGGCGGGTTTATACTGGGAGTGGGAAATGAATTAATCTCCATCCTTCTCTTACTGTTAACACTCAATCTAAAAAACTGACCAATATTATGTCAATGAAACATTGGTATGTGACCGGAGCTGCAATAATACTGTAAAGTTGTACATATAAAAACCTCACTACACAACGTCACAGCGACGCTCAGGCCCAGGCATGTCTGAGGGCAAAAGCCTCCGGTGACAATTTAGTGCTTAGAAAGGAAACTCCTTCAACGGCCTCCTGAAAAGCAGAGCACTTTGCAAAATATGCAAGAAAATCGTTCTTGCTCAACATGGAAACGACAAACTTGTTTAGCCGCTTTAGGCTAACACACCATCGAGTAAACCAGCGGTCTCCAACCTTTTTTGCGCCACGGACCGGTTTATGCCCGACAATATTTTCA